CAGTTTGCAACTCTTTCTCAAGCACAAGGTATAGTTGCAATTTTTCTTATAGAAAATGATGACATTTATAATTTAAAACCCATAAATATGGCAAACGGTAGTTTTAAACACTAACTAGGTCACAAACAATGCATTCTATGTCGGCAAATCAGTAAAAGAAGTTGAGGTTTGATAGGAAAGTAAGAATTCCATATATTTCAATTTTTCTTTAACCTTCCATGCCACAGTAACCTTGATGCTTATTTAACTCACTGTACATGAGACTGCCCTCGCAGACAATTAGGAAGATTCGGCTGGTGCAAAGTCACGCTGATTTTACAATCGTTCCACAGGCTGCCAATTTGTTTCTGGCTCCAGTTCAGAGAGTTGGCTTTGACCTATCAAGCCCTTCCTGGCCTGGGACCCCTCCCCCCCCCTCTGGCAGGACAGCTTCCCTAGATATGCTCTGCTGCAACAGCTCTGTTCATTGGTTAGGCTTTCAGAAACGACCACCCAAAACAGATAAAATCAGCACCTACCCCTCCCAGAGCATCGCCAATGGTAGCCCCCAGCTTGGGAGAATGGCTTGCCTCAAGAAATCAGGCAGGCCCTCACACTGCAATCATTCTGTAGAAGGGCCGGGGGGTCAGCGTACCCTGAAGTGAGGCCCGCTGCTGCCGCCAGCCCTCTCCCCACTCCCCTCCCCTGGCTACACCTGTGCTCCCAACTGCCCAGAGACATTGAAGGATGGCACTCCCAGCAGCGATGGCCAGTTGTGCCAGCAATTGAGCACGGAGGCGGCAAAGGCTTGCAATCAGGAGGGAGGTGCATGGTTAGGCAGGGGGGTCATGCAGGTGGAGGGTGGAAAGGGGGCATGAGAGGGGCGAGGCCCCTGGGCATTGTCTCCCCAGGCCTCCCAAAACCTGGAACCAGCCCTGTTCTGTAGGTTATGCAAAATGGAATTATTTAGGAGGATACTTTCTAGGATGACTGGATACCGTGTTTCTAGTTTTGTTTAAATATTGTGTGTGTCAAGTCACTTCCCACTTATGGTGACCCTGTGAAGTAGTGTTCTCCGAAACATCCTGTCGGTAACAGCCTTGCTCGGGTTTTGCAAACTGAGGGCTGCGGCTTCCTTGATGGAGTCCATCCGTCTCCTTTTGGGTCTTCCTCTTTTCCTGCTGCCTTCAGCTTCTCCTGGCATTGCTGTCTTTTCCCGTGACTCTTGCATTCTCATGATGTGACCGAAGTACAGTAGCCTCAGTTAAGTCATTTTAACTTCTAAGGAGAGTTCAGGCTTGATTTGATCTAGGATCTACTTATTTTTCTTTTTGGCGGTCCACAGTATCCGTAAAACTCTCCCCGAACACCACATTTCAAATTTATCAACTTTGTTCCTGTCGCCTTTCTCAGTTTTCTAACTTTCACACCTATACATAGAGTCGGACACGACTGAAGGGCTACTAACAAACAACAACAACAACGGCACAAATTAATTTGACCTTGGTCACTAGAGACATCTTTACAATTAAGTACCTCTCCCAGATCCTTCATGCCTGGCCTTCCCAGTCTCAATCGCCTTCTGATTTCTTGGTTGCAGTCTCCCATTGAGTTGATGATGGAGCCAAGGGAGAGAGAATCCTGACCAATTCCAGTTTCTTTCTTTCTTTTTTTTAAACTGCCCCCAAAGAGGCAGGGTTTTATTACACATAACATACACAAACAATCATAACATATACATACATACAAACAGTACAAACAGATACATGGAGGTTATTTTCAATTTTTACCAATATTTATACTGGTGCCTATTCCACCTTAATAACAATTTCTCATGAACTGTGTAAGCAACTTTTCTGTCTATCATCCTAACAGGTCTATATTTCATTTAGTAAACTCTTAGTCTGTCTCTTGCAAGCTTGCCTACATATATTTATCATACCAATTATAAAACCATGACCAAGTATTCTGAAATGTCAAATCTGTTGCGCCTTTTATCAATAAAGTCAATTTATCCAATTCCGCAGTCTCCAAGATCTTATTTACTAGTTCTCGTTTTGTTGATATCTCCGGTAATTTCCAATATTTTGCATAGAGAATTCTTGCAGCCGTAGTTAAAAAAACAATCAAATAACGATCATCTTTGTTAGAATTATCAGGTAGAATATTCAACAACAAAGTCTCTGGTGTAAATTGTACTCCCGTCCCTAGTACCTTTTGCAAGATTTCATGTACCATTACCCAATATTTCTTAGATCTTTCACAATGCCACCACAACAATTCCAGTTTCTTCACTGTCCACCTTAAAGCTGTGTGATTCCCCAGCAGTCATTACTTTGGTCTTCTTGATGTTCAGCTCTAATCCTGCTTTGGCACTTTCTGCTTTAACCATCAGTGTTGTTTCAAGTCTTCACCTCTGTGCTTTAATGTAGTTTTAAGGCTTTGAGAGTAATCTGCCTTGAGCTCTGTGGAGGAAAGGCAGACAAGCAATGCTGTATAATGAAAAAAAAAGTATTGTGGTTTCTTTATGGTATCTTCATTGCAGTTTGGGACTGAGGATGGAGTTGCAGGCGGTTGCATGGGCCCAAAGTAACATCGAAAAACAAAATCCAGGTAATGCCTTTGATTAGGACCAGGCAAAATGACCCAGAACAGTGCGCAAACTTTTGAGTCCCCCAGAATTCTTCATCAGGCTGCATCTTTTAAAAATGTTCCCCTCCTTTAATAAAAAAAATCAGCCTAATGAAGAGTTCTCACAGGGGTCATTTCCTGCAGGAGCGCACAGGAGCGGCGCTCCGGCAGTAAGGAGCCCAGGGGGCTGGCACATGCAACAAGCCCTGCTCCCTGCTCCCAGCAGCCCTCAGTTGGGCCATGAAGAACAAGAAGCAGCCAGGATGTTCCAGAGCCCTCCCCAGCCCGCCTTCAGGTACAAGCTCTTCCTCCTCTGTGAGGGCAGATCTGCGCGTTCCCCCCCCCTAGCTAAAAATCCAAAACAGTCCAGTGGCACCTTTAAGACCAAGTGGAGCCTGAGTGGTGGGTGTTGCCTGCTGACACACTTCCAATTATATCAGGGGGTGTGGCATATGCAAATAAGTTATGCTAATACATTATGCTAATGAGCCCCTGCACCTCTTTTTCTACGAAATGACCCCTGGTTCTGGAGAACTCAAGAACTTCCACAGTGTTGTGTGTAATTTCGCCTGGTCCTAATAAAAGACACATTTTGAAATAGGTCTTTTGTTCAACTCAGAATGGGACTTGCCTGGTGCTTAAAAAATAAGCTAAATAAACAAAGATATGCATAAGATTAGTGCTAAAGTGCTCTAAGGGATCCCAGTCTGGATCATGGTCCTTAATAAGGAAGTGGAAAGGATACGTTTCTCTTGTTCGAAAGCCAGTCAAATCCGACTCTAGGGTTGCGGTGCAGTGCTTATCTCCATGAAAAGATATGATCCACTTTTTTAATGAAAAATACTTGGTCTTCCATTGTGTGTTCCTTATGCAGCCATTTGCTTGGAAACTAACCAAAGACTCCTAGAGATGAAAGCTGGGATTTTAACAATTCTGGCTACACCTCCATTTTAAGAGCAATTCTAATAGCCTTATATCTCATATGTGGGCTGAATCCCAGTCATCCATGTGGCTAAACTATACAGAAAATTATTGATGATCTATTTTCCTTGCCAGAAAGTTCAGCCTATGCCCTGATTAAACAAAGACTCCTAGATATTGAGATGCAAGATTTAAGGAGCCTGGCTAAAGGTAGTTGTTTGCCCATGAGGTTGGGGATTTTTTCCCCATGGGTCCTTAGCAGAGTATTTCTCTTGTTTAATTGTCCCGCATTATCGTAGAGCTTCTATGTTAGCTTGCTTTAATGTACTACCTTCTGCGGTACTGTATGGGAGATTTCAGAAAATTCTGTACTATAGTAGGTTCTGTGCTTGTGGACTGCACAAAGTAGAAAGCCTTGAACATGTTTTCTTGTATTGTACATATTACCTTCATATTCAGTCCTCACTTATTGAAACTTGGCTGCAAGATCAAGAAGGGCAACCTGATGACGGCAAAATTATTTTTCTACTATCCACAAAATCCAGCAAATATTGAAACTGTGTTCAGATTTTTACATCTTGCATCTAAAAGACAAGAAATATATCTGAATGCTGTGATTAATGCATTGATGGTTGTAATTTGTGTGTTGTTATGCCAATTTAATTCAGAATATGACTTGCCTGGTGCTTAAAAAATAAACTAAATAAACAAAGATATGCATTTATCTGAGAGAAATCCCCAAGGGGTTTGATGCTAAATAACATGTTGGGGATTGCCACGGCATTGGAGCAAGCTGTCCCTGTTGAATTCTGTTGGTCCTGAGAGGCAAAGGAGTAGGGGAAAACCCCTCATTATTTAATAACTGCACTGACGACATAGTGGAAGTATCTGAAGAAGTGTGCACGCACACACAAGCTTATACCCAGAACAAAACTTTGTTAGTCTTAAAGGAGCCACCGGACTCAAACTTTGTTCTGTTGCTTCAGACCAATACAGATACCCACCTGCACCTGAAACCACAAGAACACCCTTGCATGCGGGGGGAGGGGTGGGGACGACACACGCGACAGCAACTGCCGAGGCAGAAATCCAACAAGAAAAAACTCAACACCCGCTTTGCCCGTTTAACTTTTTTGCCTGTTGTGCCGCTCAAAGGGGGGGGGGGGGAGATACCCGGCCCAACCTCGTTTAAAATCTGCCAACGAGGCAGGCATGCCAATGGGTGAACTTTGCCCGCACTCGCATGGAAATAACGATGCCGGCTCTTCTTCACCGCTTGGATTTCTGCCTTCCGCGCAGCTCTTCCAGGGCCACTGAGCTGGGAGCCGCGTCAAGCCCGCTGTGTGTGTTCGGCGCGCAGAGAGCCCGGCCAGGAGGGCGAGGGGGCGGCGCTTGGCGGGTGAGCCGGGCAGAGGCGAGGCGGGTCGGAGACGCCCCCGCCTCCTCCCGAGTCAAGTTCGGCTGCTGGAGGCCCGCCGGCTGCAGTTCGCTCCACTCTCTTGGTGGCGCCGCCGGAGGAACCGCAGCAGCAGCCAGGCTGGGGAAGTCAATCGGCGCCATGGAAGATGCGGAGAAGGGCAAAGCCAACCGCGAGAGGCGGGAGCTCAAGATCGGCGGTGAGAGGCCGAGACCCCGAGCAACTTTGGGGCGCCCCATCCGCGGCGGCGGCGGCGGCGGCGGGCGGGGGGAGCCCGAGGAAGAGGCGCGTTGGGGGTGTTTGTCTCGGTTTGGCGCCCGCCGTGGCCTTCCTTCCAGAAGTCCCCCTCTTGCCTTTGTAGGCAGGCTTGGACTTCGGCTGCGCTCGACTGTGCGGTGCCTCTGAGCGCGTGCAGAGTAGCTTTTGCTCGCCAGTTTGCGAGAGTTCGCCAACAGATGGGAATTGTTCACTTTCCTCTACGGGGAGAGGTTGTTGCCTTGAGGCATGCTCTCCCTTTCGCTGAAAAGAAGTTGCTCGTGACACCCCCCCCGCGCCCCCCAATCGGTGTTTCTTGGAGTGTGGTTCTGAGCATACACAGAGTGTGCTTGAGAGATGACCTCTTATCGACAGATGCTTGTTGCTTGTGTTGTTTCCGGATGGTGCTGTTTACAGGGGTGTCAGGCTGGACAAGGCTTAATCGAAATTTCGGAAAGAGAGAGAGAGAGAGAAAACAACAGTGTCTGGGACGACGGGTAGAGGGTCTCCAGTCTGCCACGACACCTGCCAGGCTAAGATGTCCTGCTGCCCTCCCTCTGCCTTAAGGCGAATCTGCATATGCATTTTGAATCAGTCCCGTGCTTTGCTGATGGTTTTCTGTACACAGAAGGGGGTTAAGGCTGGGACCTTTGGTGGGAAGGCTCAGGGCATGTCACGTTAGGAGCAGTGTAACTTCAGTGCAGCATAGGAGTTTCACTTGTCTAAGTCGAACGAGGCTCGCAGCAAGACAAGAAAGCAGAAATTGGAGTCTGTAGGTTGTGGCCAGCTCTTGTTGGGCCTATACCAGCTTTTTAAGAGGGTTTTTCCGGCCTCCAGGTGGAGCCTGGAGACCTTCTGGAATTACAAGTGATCTCCAAAGGACAGAGATCAGTGCCCCTGGAGGAAATAGATGCTTTGGAGGGTGGGCTCTATGGCATTGGACGCCACTGCGGGGGGGGGGGGCTCCACCCCTAAATCTCCAGTAATTTCTCGAACTGGAGTTGGCAACCCTGTTTTAAAGTTTCAGTGGAATTTTTTTCTATATTTTCAAATATTGTGGCAATGGCTGGGGTTTCTTGCTTGTTTTAATGGCTGGGGACTCGCTTTTGCATCAGGAGCACCCAAATTATGACTGAACTGCTTCCAAAGCCGTATTCCTCTGAGAGTCAGCTTTCCAAGCTTCTCAGCCGCTTCCCACGCTCCCACCCCCCTCATCCCCTTTCCTGGAACTTAAAGTTTGTGTTGACAATGGGGCATGTGAAACTTTGCCGAAGCAGAACTCACCACCCCTGTATCGAAGCAAAATGCAGCATCAAAAATTCATCTTCCTGGAGGGATTCTAGGGGCGAATGTCAAGTAAGAAAAAGCACCGGGGACTTGTTTGTTTCTTGTGTTGTCGCTGGTAATAAGAAAATGTTTGGATGACGGCTACTTGCTGTTTAAATGCCAATTTGAGGGTGTTCCTCACCAGGGCAGGGTTTAAACCAGCAGGATGGATAGACTGATTATAATAGGGAGTTCTTGTGTGCAGCAGGATACCTTATTTGCACACACACAAACACAAAATGCACGTTCCCCCCCACACACAAACACAGTTTGCCATGCTCTGTATTTTACAGAGGGAAAAATATTATGTGGCACTTAAGAGGCAGCATCCTTCAGCTCTGTTCCTTGCATGGTGCAGCGGCAGAGAGCCAGTGTGGGTTACTGGTCAGAGTTCTGGATTTGAATTTTGGGAGCCTTGGGTTCGAATCCCCATTTTACAATAAAAGCTCTTTGGGTGGCCTTGGGCCATTCACTCTCCCTCTCTCTTAGGTTACCCTACCTTACAGGGTGGTGGTTGTGAGGAGAAAACGCATGTGGGGAAAGCAATGCTGTAAGCACCTTTGGGTCTTCATTGGAGAGAAAAGCAAGGATAAATGTCTAAATAAGTAAGAGCAGGGCTATTTTTGGGCAGGAACGCACAGGAACGGAGTTCCGGCTGGCTTCAGAGCTGGCCACACCCACTACAGCCAAACCTCTGCATGTGTGGCTACAGAGGGAAGGCCTGGAGGGCGATCCTCCCCCGGTGCCTCCAAGGCAGGCGGGCCAGGGGGGCCCTGGAAGGATCAGGGAGGCATTTAAATGCCTCCCCGTGCCTTCTGTGGTCTGTCCAAGGGCTGGCTTGCCTGGGCTCCCTGCAGCTGCGGGGCACCTGGGCAAACCAAAGGAAGGCAGTTTAAACTGCCTTCCCTTCAAGGGGGGGAGCTTGCCCAGGCGCCCCGCAGCTGCGGGGCCCCTGGGCAACCCAAGGAAAGGCATAGGGTGTGGCCTAATATACTAATACGTTTCTGCTCTTGGGTGTGGCCTATTATGCTAATGAGTTCCTGCTGGGCTTTTTCTACAAAAAAAGCCCTGAGTAAGAGTCTGGCTGCTGGGTGCATGAGTGTGTGAGACTCTCAGCCTCCAGCTCGCAGACTGACAAATTATTGCTCAAGAGTATGGAGTGAATTCCATCCTGTGTAACAGAGAAACAGGCGGTTGGTGTTGCCCAAACCAAACCTGCACTGTCTAACTTCCTTGTGTCAACTGTGTGCCTGCGAGATGCTGTCTATACAAATAGTGAACCAGCGTCCACAAGGCAACAGATGTGGAAAATCTCCTGCAGGCATACAGGAAAACGGGGAGACACCTCTTCTGCCTTTTCCTTCCCTAGACCTTCCTTGACTTTGCCCTGTTTCTAAAACGCAAGCTCTCAGTGGCTACTGAGGTCCCTCTTGACAAGGGATGCATAGCTGGCTAGGGAAGGGATTGGGCATGTCAGAATAGGAAAACAGCCTGCATTTTCTCCAGCCTAAACCTCGGTTCATTAGAGGCCTGGGATTGGCTTCTGTGAGCACGGTGGGCAGTGGGCCCCAAGCATCAGATAGGCTATCGTCTAGGCTATTTTTGCAAAGCAGTGGTGCTGCCTAAGCAAAGCCCCCTGGGTCATTGTGCCCACTTTCTCCTTGAAAGTACAGAGTCGAATGATCTGGTAGGGCTGGCAGGGTATGAGGCGCCATCGGTGGTAACCAGGGGCCCACTGCTGTCCGTAAGCCCATCTGACCGTGGGGTAGACCAGGCAAAGGGTGTTGTGGTGGTGGCCTGGCATATCTGTTGCTTTCTTGGTATAGCAAAACTCTTGAGTGGAGGCACTTGGAGAGGTTCCTCTCTGCATGTTCTTGAGGAGGGTGGAGAGACAGGCTGAAAATCTCCTTCCCACTCTGTCTGTCCCTTCCACCCAGAGCAGATTATCACAAGTCTTGTCTTGTGTTGCATATTTATCAATTGTGGTCATGTGTTCCTCTCGGCACAGTGCCCAGCTGTAATTCCAAGACTTCAGATGTCAGCCAGCTGTGAGTCTGCTGGCGCTGGTGAGTGAGGAAAAGGGGGTATAGAGCAGAATACAGAAGTAAACGGGAAGACATCCAGGGGGGGGGAACCCTTCTGATTTTGGTGGGCCTCCCCTGGGTAGCCTTGGCAATGTATTTAAGTGACGTCACTAGCAAAGTGGTGTTCTTTGGTCCTGCATTTGTTCCAGGAGAGAGAGGGACAGCAATTGACATAGTTAAATTGCCAGTGTATATAGATTCTGCAGAAATTAAGAAGTATGGATTTTTCTGGATAGTACCACTTTAATGGGGGGGGGGGGATGAGTTGAACCTTTGAAATGTTTTCCCATAAGAACAAGAACTCCCTGGACATAAAAAGTTAGCATGCCAGTGAGAAAGCTAGTAGAAGCATTCTCCTTGACAGGTTAGTTTTCTATAAGCAGGAAGGGTCCCCCCCCCCCCACACACCCCTTCCACAACTATACAATCATGCAACTCCCTGCCTTTTTTCTGAAGTGGAATGATCCAGGGAGGGGGGGAATCAGTACCACTTGACCTTTTGCAGATTATATTAATCAGGTCCTTTTAATTGAAATCAAGAGACTAAAATCATGTTTGGGAGCTGCTGCACCAGCTGTTTGATTGAATTTAAATAGCTCTTCTGGCTGCGCTTCTCTGAAATGCATATAACGTTACCATATTCCCTCCCCCTTTCTTTGGCCCAGCTGAAAGAGGCCAAGCTCTCTTCATCTGTGCGCCAGATGCATTCAGTGCCATTGGAAATATTGGCTCTCTGACTCCATAGACATTTTCGGCTGGCACCCATTCTAGTGGACTTGTATAATGTCATGATTTGAGAGGCCAAAGTTGGCATGTCCCATTTTGACCACTTAGTGGGCCAATACTGGGAGTAGTAAAAAGCCCAGTAGCACCTTCAAGACCAACACACTTTATTGTAACATAAGCTTTTGAGAAACACAGCTCTCTTTGTCAGATGCATCTGATGAAGAGAGCTGCGTTTCTTGAAAGCTTATGCTACAATAAAGTTTGTTGGTCTTAAAGATGCTACTGGGCTTTTTACTATTTTTCAGGAACTGACTAACATGGCTAATTCCTCTGGATCTAATACTGGGAGTGATTTGTGTGTTTATTTCATTTGTACCCCACTTTTCTTCCCAATGGGGACCCAAAAACAGCTTACATCATTCGCCTCTCCTCCATTTTATCCTCACAACAACCCTGTGAGGTAGGTTAGGCTGTGAGCGTGTGACCGGCCCAAAGTCCCCCAGCGAGCTTCCACAGCAGAGTGGGGATTCGAACCTGGGCTGCCCAGATCCTAGTTCAACACTGTAGCCGCTACAGCACATTAACTGGGTTAGGCTGGAAATGTTATCCCTTTGCTCTCTGTACAGCCAAAACATCACTGTTCTGAATGCCAGTGAAGTGCAAAACTTTGCCCTCCTGGTACTGGCGTTTTCCACTTGGATTTTGAGCCTTGGGCAGTTAATATTCTACAAATGGCTCCGCTCTCTCCAGCCAGCAAAACAATTAAAGGAATCCTTTCTTTGCCAAGCAACAGCTTTCTTTCTCCAGG